TTGTGTAATTGTTAATCACCATAGGAATTTAAATTATTTTTACGTATGTAGGTGTGTCAGAAGGTGCACAAATGAATGGTGTAGTAGTGTGAGACAGGGGTGGTTTTGCCACTATTTTAAAAATGTCAATGCATATTAATGTTATGTGCTCATTTATCTATTCTGGAATTGTTGAGTGCCCCCTCCCCCTTTGAAAAAATTTGGATCCTCTCCTGTGACAAGTATCAACAGTACAGTAATAATGACATCATACCAATTTTCTTCTAAAGTTCAAAACCCACTGTTTTTTTTTAACTTGTGGAAAGGATAAAATTGACTAAGTTAGTATAATTTAAGATATATCATTATTTTTATGAATGTGGGTATGTTTGTTTGTTTATTTATTTATTTACTTTAAGATAGAGAAGGCAGGCTATAAAGAAAATTCCTATTCCCAATAGGATTCACTTACCATATACATTCAGAACAAATAGAACTTTATTATTTGTTAACCTAAAATTCATTAAATAGGACTTGCTATACATAAGGCTATAGGCGTCTTCCCCGTCTTCCCTGGAACCGACTGGGGCTTTCCCTTGCCTCCCAGGCAACACTTGAGCAAATTGTTAGCTCAAAAATAGAAATAATAGAAATTTTTAAGTAATTCGTATATAACTCGCACAGGTTGTTGTTCGCACAAGTGGATCTTCTTCCGCTCGAACTAGCATCCGCTCGAAAAAAATCCGCTCGAATTGGCCTTCGCTCGAAGTGGCATCCGCTCGAATTGACTGGTTCCCAGGCTGGGACATGAAAGGTTGTTGTTTGTTGTTATTTTGCGACGTCATCAACGAGTACAATACATTAAATCCCGTAACATGATTGGTCTATTTTTTTCTAATTTACATAATGAATTTTTCCAACATTTTTGTCTATTTAAAAAAAAGGGTGTAAGTTATGGAGATGGTAACAATCATAAATCGATTATAAATTTAATTATACATTTTTAGACAAAAAATAAACCCTCTTGGCCCACTGCCCATTTTTTTTTACACCATGACCATGCGTAATATTAACCTGCAGTGTATATATACGAAGAATTTTTTCTAGTAGGATTAGAGATGACTAACTGGTACTTGGTGTGGTACTAGGTTTATCGCATTTATGGCTTAGGGGCCGCGGTTTATCTCCCTCCGTTTAGTCATGCTGAATCAGGAGTAGTAAACTCGGCGATCGTGGGTTCGATTCCCACACGGGGCAATTTTTTTTTTTAAGGTCGTGGGTTCGATTCCCACACGAGCCATTTTTTTTAAATTTTTTTTTTAAGGCAGTTTAGTTGATGGTGGATAATGATAGCAAACCTGGAGGTTGTGTTTTCGATTCCCACACGAACCAATTTTTTTTTTTTTTTTTTTTTTAGGGTTTAAGGTGGATAATGAATAGCAAACCTGGTGGTTGTGTGTTGAATTCCCACACGAACCAATTTTTTTTTAAGGCAGTTTAGTTATTAGTGTTTGATGGTGATTTTTTTTTTATTCAATGGGAATTCATATATTTTATATGAGAAGAATCTATGAATATTCAGCCTTCCCTTTACTGGATCCGCCACTGATTATAGATCTGAAATTGGAACATGACCGAAGTCCGTTTTGGTATACTAAATATACCTCATCCATGGTGCCATCGTAAAGTCATGGTTTGCTGGAGTTGCGTTCAATTTAAATCTCCAAACTGCTGAAGCTGAGATATTCTATGAATGTAGGCTTGTATCGCTGGCTACAATTTAAAAACGGGTGACCAATTATGAATTAGGTGCTAAATTTTGATTTAATGCTGGGTAAGTTAAAAACAGACATTCCGTCCGAGTGGGACTCATTCAAAAATTCGAGGGGGTTCGCTAGAAAACAGGGGGGTTCGCTAGAAAAGGGGGATTCGGCCGAACCATAACCCCCACCCCTGCTACGGGCCTGAAGTCTGTGTTTTAATATTAGTCTATAAGCCTTTAAATGTTTAGTTTACAGTAATTAATAAATAAAACCCAAACAAATTATTGACACAAATTAGATAAGTGGTGGTACGAAAATTGTCTGAATATCAATTTCAATATTGTTAAGGTTGTTATAGGAAAGACAATACAGAAGTAGTTGACATAATATGCCTACACTTGCCGGAATTTAAAGGTTGTGACGTAGTTTGGGGTGGGGTGAATAAATCGGCCTCCGGCACCAAAAACTAGAATTTTTTACTGAGCCAAAAGGGCAGTCAAAGGGAAAAACAACTGTGAGATAAGGCTAAGCGAAAACTCACATAAAACTATATACTTCTCGAAAGCACAGTATTCTATTTGTGGCTTTTGACCCATTCCCATGCTCCTAAAAGTATATTATTGATCCGTACTACTCAGTGGGTAGGTTTTACAAGATACTGCTGTACTGATGATTATCATGATCGAAGATGATGACATTTTTTTAATAGATGATTATAAAGTGCAATGCCTATAATGAACGGAGAATGTCTTCCGTTTATTTATTTTTATTTATTAACTTATGTATAATCTCATTAAACAGCGGGAAACTCGCCACTTAGAGAATGGAACTTAAAAGCTAAAATATAATATAGGAGCATAAAAATACTTTAAACTTAAATCTCAAGGATTTTGCAATAAAAAAAAAATTAAAACTATCACAGAAAATATCAATAAAATTATCTTTTTCCACACAATTATTAAAAAGTCGACAAATACGTGAAACAAAACCATTTAGGATGACGGGTACGGAAAGCAACAGTTTTAAACATGAAAAGACAGAAAACAGAGACATTAAATCACAATCAAAACGGGAATTCATTTGTACAAAAATTGAAGATTAAACAACCAACGACGAAAATCAAGAGATGGAAGTGAAATAGACAAGGGGGACAGGAATAAACAAAACGAACAATGAGTAGAGGAAAACAATTAGACACAACAGTATAGTGGACGAACAAGGGAAACATATAAATCAATTAAACTATAAGAAAGTTTAAAACAACAGCAGTTACGTCGTATCATACCAACACCTCATAGAGGAATTAGTTTAAAAAACTAAACTAATTCCTCCATGGTTTGATTTACTAACAGCATCAACTATAATCAATGATGATACCAAGATACTTATGACGGTCAACTCTATCAAGTATGGTACTACTAATACTATATCTGTATGATTGTTATCTGTTTTGAGTTTATAAGCAAAACTGAAAAACTCTATAATACTGTACTTGTATAATCATGTGAATTTCCCACATAACGAATGCTTGATGGATTGTTATCATGACCTATTATTCTTAAGCCCCTATCGCACTGGACTTAATTTGGTCAAATTCACCGAGTCACTGGCTAAATTGACCAAAAAAAATCCAATCCGAACGTCGGTTACAATTCCCTCAGGGTTAAATTAACCAAGCCGAATGGTTAATTTTACCGACCTCAGCCTGCCCAGTAAAACTAACCACGATGGTCAAGAAGTCCAATCCGGACGTGCAACACGGTTAAAACTGCATTTTAGTCCCATTTAAAGCCATGTCAGGACCGGGTAACATGGTTGGTAGGCTTCTCCGGTGTGGTTTTGGGCATACCGAGCGGGTGCTCCATTTCCTTGTATAAGCTGTTTCTGGCTGAAAATGCATCATCAGTCTAGTGGGATGTTCATTCTTAGTTAAGCTGCTTCAAGTTTCTATTGTTTTTTATTTTGCTTTTATTTTCTATAAATTATCCTTCGTTATGTACAGTTAGAATGCACACCCTTTTGTGTTTGTACCACTGTTTCAAAAGTGCATATCGAAATAAATTATTCTTAATCAACCAATAATCACAGTTATACGTGCCATGATTGAGTTAAAGTTACATATAACAACCAATTAGGCATACTGTAATTGTTTTTTTTAGTTATTTTGTTACTTATATTGTTGTTACTTATTTATTGTTTTAATATTGTTATATTTGTTTCTGCTGCTTACCCTACTACTGTTGTTATTGTCACTATAATTATGATAGTATCCTGGTGATATGAAACATCAAAGCATATCTGGTATGTACTCTTGATTAAGCTTCTTGACATTTATTCAAAATAGACTAATAAATATTCAATAGCGGCACTTTGCAAAAAAGCATACTTGGTGTGGTGCTTAGTGGACGGTTCTCTTGCTCCAACTATGTCATCATGACCGCAAATTTGGCATGTTGTACAAAATGGCTAAACTTGTGGCAAAAACTCATTATATTAGTATTTTCAACTACTGTACCAAAGTACAAAATTCTTCATTCATTGAAATTGGAAACCTCAACCCCGTTAATGGGAAGTGAAAATACAGCACTCGTGGAGTCAAGATAAAAATAATATTGAGAGTAAGCGCCTTTCAAAGGTATGTGTGCATACAATTATTAATGGAATTAGCTACCAAAAACAAAACAAAAAAATGGTTTGTTGACCATTTCCAGAACTAAGAATTATTAATTGGATAGTAAACTTGTTGATTTAAGTGACATGTTTTAGGCCATTTTTTGAGATCCAATAATACTGACTTGTGCAACAACTTAACCATTTTGCCACAACATGCCTCAAATGTAATGCATGTTTACATATCACCAAAATGAGATGGAAAGAATTGTGAACAATAAATAAAAAGCAGACATAATTTCACTTTTGTGGTTTATTGATTCCTCAAAAAGAACCATTCATAATTTACATTTCACAGATATAAACCACCTGCCCTGCAATTCAGAATTTATTATTGGCAAGGTTTTGATGTACACCTTACAAAAAAGTCCCAAGTTGAATATTATCAAGCATGTCAGTAGATTGTGAATGGTTAAGGTCTACTTCTTCTTGGACACACCAACAGTTCTTCCTCGTCTACCTGTTGTCTTGGTATGTTGACCTCTCACTCTCAAACTGTTGGAGGAAACAAATGTATTATTAAACCTTATGTCAGAAACAACAAGGTACACTGTCAATGTAAGGGTCCATCTGGCAAAACAAATTAAAAAAATGCAAACAATACAGAAAATCAGTTCACTACTACTGGCAGCCCCAAAAAAGAAAAAAACACTAAAAAAAGCGGCCTTCTCAATTATACCCTGAACTAAGACACGACACGATTAACCAGCATAGCACTACAGCGATGATATAATCTAATAAAAAAAAGGTTTGAATTTCCTCAAAATGATCTATCAGTAAATAGCTGCTATGGGCTATGGCTTTACTACAGCAATTTATTCCTGATGATGACATAATTAATATTGAAATATTGAATCAAGACACAATGGCCTGCATTTTGGAAAGTGAAAAAATGAAATTCAAAATTCGAAATTGGAGGAGGAGTTGTTTAACTCATTGGGTGAACTGAAATGGACTGACCCACATATTCCAATGTACTATAAGTGTGTTTGAAAGAACATTCCGTTTCTTATACTAGTTTGATACCCGTACCCGTCTTGCCTTGGGCGAAAGTCTAGTGTATGATTTAAATGATCCGATTTGTTGGCTTTACCACTTTCAGAAAAAAAAAATCACCAGATGGTTACAGTACCACTAAAAAATAAATATGTCATCTTTATAACAAAAGTTGACTAGTTACCCCCAATAATGTCGGAGGCCTCTGTGTGCTCTAATCTTCTTAAGTCTCTCAAGATCCTCACGGAGCTTGTTATCAAGTGCGTTAGCCAACACTTGACTGAATTTGCCATCCTTAATGTCTCTTTGTCTGTTGAGGAACCAGTCTGGAATCTTGTACTGGCGAGGGTTCTGCATGATGGTCACTAGCTTGTCCACCTGTTAACAGAAAAATCCTTTATTAGCATAACAAGGCCTGAAAAAAACAACCCAAACCCATTTCATAACAGGTGTGCAGCCACTCCATAGGGTGCATCCACCTTGTGCCTAAATACCGAACAATACACAACTGATAATTCCACAACTTTTGTTTTATCCCAAAATGTAAATAATCAACTTCCTTAGACCCATATGCCCCACTCCACCAAGTTATATGATGATGATCCATTCGTTAGTTTTTGCATTATCCTATTTAGTACAGTAATAGACAGACAGACAGACAGCAAAGAATACATTAACTACTTTGGCGGAGGTAGAATTTAGAGATGATCCATAGAACAAGTTTAGGGAGTGAAGTTAATCTTTGGTTAAAAACAGAAATTCAGTAAAACTCACCTTTGGGACACCCTTTTGGTTGCAAATCAAGGGAAAGCGTTTCTTTTACCACTGTGGCCAAACCTTATTTAGGAGACACCACTATTTAAGGGACAAAGCGACACTTTTTTTTTTATCCAAAAAGATGTCCTCTTAACTGGCAAATGATGGGATTGAATTGTTATATGTACTTGTATTCCACATGGAAACATATCAAACATAATATTGTATTAAGTACCAATCATATCCGCTCACATTTGATATTTAACAAGGTACTGTATGGGTTCATTATTCTCCTGGAAATGACACAAACTGAGCAGCCGTCCCATCACAAAACAATGTAACTGCTGTTATATTTTTGTGCAGTTACGTTGTTTACCTTGGAACGACCGTGACATGAGAGGAAATGAAATGCCTGATAATCAAAAGTCAGATCAATACACCAGTAATAAGTGCACAACCCAGCAGTCGGAGGCATCATGAACATCCCAGAGGCATTTTGTTGAAAGAATAAACTGTTGGGCTATATAATACTGTACAGATAATATTTAGTGCTGGATGCATTTTTTCAAGACAACTTTCATGGTCAGAGGCACAAACACTGTTTTTCCAGACCTGGATTTGTCTTTAAAATACTCTCAATGGTAGAAAAGAATACAAGATACATATATTATTAGTCTATCATAAAATTATGGAAATTCAAACCCCAGTTGGCATAAAACAAAACTGCATTACTGTATTAAAAATCACAATTAACAGTGTATCAAATTTCAAAATAATCACACCAGATATATACAATATATTGAATTAACAGAACCATTGCAATGCACCACTTACTTCATCTTCGGTTAACTCTCCAGCTCTCTTGCTAAGATCAACATCTGCCTTTTTACAGCAAAGGTTAGCATATCGACGACCAATACCCTGTATGTAAATAACATTAATTCAGTTTAAAATCAACAATTTGTAATCTGTAAATATATTTACAGCATAGATTCCTTGAACTGTTTACATGCTGAAATACGCCATCAGGGTGCTCACTGGTCTAAAAACTAGTGACAGTTTAGAATATATCAGGAATAAAAAAACAAGGTAGTGATATTCTTCACCATAATATAATTAGAGAATTATAAAATTAATATTCAGTTGCTATATTAGAAATTAACAAAATGAAAGTTTTATAAACTTATAATCTACCACCGAGTCAGATATATCTGAATTTAAATTCATTTTTTAAACTTCTGTATTACTTTTAAATTAAAGCTGCTCTACAAACGTATTAAGTATATAAATTAAAAACAATGCAACATGTCATTAAAAGAAAAGAACTGAAAAAACTAAATATTTGCAGGGTCATGCCGTTAGTGACCTACAGTACCTTAATGGCTGTCATGGCAAACATGATCTTGCGCTTGCCATCGATGTTGGTGTTTAGCACACGCAAAATATGCTGAAACTTCTCTGGAATTACAAGACTCTGTAAAGGAAATAGTTCAGTCACAATGTAAAGTACTGTATTTTTTGCATGAATATACATAGTCGACAAAGTGCTCACAAAATTTGTTTTAGAAACATAAGTGCGATATGCATAGTATAGCTATAGTATACATGCATATGCTAATAAGAAGATGCAATATGTAGGCCTAGTAAAGTAGTAGTAGTATACAAAAGACATTCTTTGAAGAAATTGGCTCATTTGTAAAATGCAACATGGACAGACTAGGTAAAATGTATTTAAGGGGGCAATACACATAATTAGCGCAAAACTTGACCGCCCCATTTGTAAACACCATTAGATCAAGAATTAAAGAATTAAACTATAGAAGACTATATTGTATATTGTTAGAAAGCATAGGATTTGCTCTTTAAGAAGAAAACTTTTAATATTCAATAAAAGACACCTAAACTACGACATATAATGCTGAAAATATTTTTCATTCAAAAATTTACGTTCGAAATGATACTTTGGACACAAATACCATAATTACAGATTTTGACTGTTATATACTACAATAGCAGTGTCTAATAAGTACCTCTACTGAGTATTTTACCAATTTCATCAACAGCATTAGAGAAAAATCAGCATTTAGAGAAAAACTCTGAATTTGTTCGGATAAATTTACCAACACTACCTAACTTTATAAAAGGCTCAATAGGCCCCATCCTTGCATCAAGAGCAACAAATCTGCTAAGTTTGGATTGAATCAGAATGATCGGAAATAAAAAAGTTTTTTTTTATGTTAGTGAAGGTGCATTTTACGAAAAGGTAAGGTAAACATATAAGGTATTGAATTGAACCAAAATTTAATTGAGTAACAAATATGTATATATCTTCTTAAAGAGCAATTCCTCAGCTTTCTAAACAATACTGTATATAGTCTTCTATAGTTTACTTCTTGAATTATTGAGCTAATGCTGTGTTTAGCCGGGGGCGTCAAGTTTTGAGCAGATTATGTGAAGGTACAGTAGGTAGTAGTAGTATTAGTAGTAGAACACGACTAGCCTGAGATCTAGGCTAGGGGCCTCTAGAGTCTACGTCGATTCTAGACTAGCGTAACTGTTGTATGGCTGTCTGTATAGGCTAGGCCTAGCCTAGCTAGCTAGGCCATAGAGGTAAGCCTAGGCCTGTCTCATTATAAATATGGATCGTAGGACTGTAGTAGAAATCACAGTAATATTAATTATCCTACAACAGACACTCATCATAAGAGCTCAGCACACAGCTTTAAAAAAAGGGCATCCGTACACCCCTAGGCCTAGGCCCTAGGCTAGGTCTAAAAACACTGGGGCACGGGCATTAACGTTGGAAACAGGCATCTCATGCAAAGCCAGAGCAGGTCTCAATGTTGTCACCATAAAACTCAGTACATAAAAAGAATTTAAGTGAAATACAATTCTCAATACATTAAATAATGTTAATTTAATGTTTGTTATTAGTTATTCTTTAAATATAAGGGACTAAAAGAGAGATTTGAAAGGATTATATAATGGACTTCCACATTACCATGGTCGATTAGGATTCGCCACCGGAAAAGGCCGTTTCCCACAAGGCAAATGTAGAATCGCCGAAATAATTTGAGAAAACCTCGTCCATTGGTCTATAAAATATACAATTGACGTTGTTAACCAATCAGGAGTAGCAGTACTTGAGTGATAGGAACGTAATTGCCTTCAATCTTCAGAATGAAAACATAAGCCTTTCAATCTGTTTCCTTAAAATGATTCTCTAATAATGCTACCAAGAATAAAATAGGAACAATGAATGACGTAGGCTTAGCCGAAGAGGTAATGAATCATTTCAATTTATTCACTGGTAAAATAGGCCTAGCCTAGCCAACAAATTTACTCCCACCCACTCTCCCTTTTGCTAGGCCTAGCCTAGGCCCTAGGCCTAGTTAGAGGCCTAGGTCCGAGATCGTCAACCGTTAGGGCGGCCAGAGAGGTCCGGTGTGTTGTTAGTACACGACTGTACGGTGCACCAGGCTAGGCCTGAGGTAGCTCATTAGGATAAGCGAAAGAAAACCTTAGTAATTTACACTGAAAAATCATTGAGCAAGTTTGAAAACAAAAGTGGTATTTATTTTATTTAGTGGGTTGTTCATTGTATTCAGTTTTAATTAAATAAAAGTTGTGGTTTGTTTGCATCATTTAGGCCCTCCTAGAAGCCTAGCCTATTTAGTACTTTTTTAGCACTTTCTTTGGCCTGCATATTTTTTTTTTTACTTCAGGAATTCTTTATTTTGTTATATTATTTTTTTGGTCAAGAAGCGAGAGAAATGTCGTTCCTTTAAATTCAATTTTTGAAATAAAAAAAATACAATTGACAATGTCAATGACTGCTGCTCCTGAATTCCTGTGTAGCAGGATTTTTTCTCAAAACTTAAACAAATCCATTCCCTAACTCTCAATGAGATTAAGCTATAAAGCATACCCAGTATAAAGAATAAAAAAATAAAATAAAAAAATGTTTAATATGACATCATCATAAACAAATCAGAATACTTAAAAATGAATATTAGACAGTGACTATAGTTTTGCCAATCTTAAACAAATTCCTAATTCGGATTAAATATTATTGCTCTAACCAAGTTAAGAATTTGTTTAAACCGGTGTAACCATAGACACTGTCCATTGATTGCTGTTTCTTCATACCATTCCATTATAAACAGGTGAATGATTTTTCTGATCTGGATCTTGGTGTGCTTGATCTAACATCTGAAGAGTTCGCTCTGGAAGAAGTGGATTTGCATATACAGGAGAACTTAGGTGATGAGCTGGTAAAACAGGCATTGCAAGAGGTACAGTAATTGCAATAATGATATAGTTTTTTCATTTTTATTTCATTTATTTATTTCTCCACAAAAAAATCCACTAAAAGAAAACAGTTGTTGTGTAGGCCTATGTTGACATCAAAATTCTTTAAAAGTGTATTTTAACTGAAGAATTCTCTTTCAAATACTCAATATGAATGCCTCTTGGGTAACTACAAATGTAAAATTCTACCAGGGTATAAGCCTACTCCTAACTAAATAGCTTGAAACACAAGTAAAAATAAATATTAAGTATAAAGTAAAAAAAAATTATATCAATAAAATTCAAATATATATAAAAAAATTAATAAAATAAACAAAAATTATGCACATGTTTTAAAAGTGCAGATAAGAATGTAAAATTTAAAGTTAGTTTTGCATTGAAATTTAGCATCAATATACCTGCTAGGCCTAGACCCTCTTTAATGTGAGGCCAGCTCTATTGATGTTCACGCTTTCTCGTCCCAATAGTATTTATCTTACCCTCAAAATTTATTCAATTTCATGTTTTAATGGGGTAGACTTATTACATGTCTTAACATACAGGCTATGAGTATTCCATACAATAACTATCAAATGTACTTAACAACAAAATAAATTTGACTTGGAATTTAAGGTAGCTCTCAGAGATATCTTCTGACAGCGAGCATACTACTACTTGTCAATGAATCATGTGCTTTCATGTATTTTTTAACTGGTGTTGTTCAATTTCCAGGGCGTTGACCTGCGGCAGTACTCCAAACAGATTGAGGCTGATTTACAGCAAGTGGAAAATGAATCAATTCAGGATTGTATCCTTTGAAATCCATGTTAATATTTTTTTTTGTATATGTATATGTTCATGAAATTAATTTATATATTTTACTAAATAGGCATAAATATGTAAATTTTTAATAATCATAATTCATTGTTATTTTATTTTTTTATGTAGAATATTCATGAAAACTGTTATTTTTTAACACTTGACCTCTTAATAATAATAGACATCAAAGAAAGTCAGAATATAGCAAGTCTACACAACCAAATTACAGCATGCGACACAATATTAGAGGTATGGCGCATCACATACATTATTTGAGTATGTAAATGCAACTCTCTTTCAATTATATCTTCTGTGATGGTCTATCTAAAACAATAAAATTCAAATTGTAAATTACATACTTTGTATAATATGAAAATTAAAGGTAAAAGTGTCCATTTGTAAAGCGCATATCACCCTGGTCTCTATGCACTCAGCAGATTAAGTCATTCAGGGCCATATCCAAGTTTGTCATTGGAGGGGTGGGAGTGGTGGTGCAGTGTGTGGTATGCAAAAATGAACCTAGGGGGAGGGAGGTGGGGGGAAGAGCAATTAGGTTGACAGCTTCGTTTTTTTTATAGCCTTGAAGATGGGTCTGCTCATTCCAGTAACATGCTACTCCACTACAGAGTTCCATCATTTCAGGTGCATCCCGTAGGCACTTTCTTGATGTATTAGCCTTGGGAGTAAAACAATTTTATCTTGGCAATTCTGTGTGGAGTTGGAATAGCTTTGTGGTTAAGATGCTTGCCTTCAAATCCCAGGGTACTGGGTTCAATTCCTGTGACAACAGGACTTTTTCTCACGACTAAAACAGCTCCACTCCTAAACTCCTCACATTATTTAATTTACTTAAAGAGGGCCCTGAATATCAACCGACCTTTTAGGATACGCTTGAAGGGTTACCCTCTACAGTATAAATATGGTGTAAAAAAAAAATAATAAAATAACGGACATAAGTTGGTCAGTAATCATTTTAAGAAATTTTGTAATAGAAGGTCCGTTTTATATCAAGTGGAAAAATTCCAGATTATCAAATTTTCTTTGACAAAAAAATTGTTGTATGCCCATATTTAGTCATGATGTGCCTATATATGGTCATGATGTGATGTCATCATTACCATATTTAGGCATGGCACATGTTTTTGTCAAGTAAAATTTGATAGTTTGAACAGGGCTTTATACAATCTAATTGCTTGGTTTTTAGATTTGGTACACCATGTGAATGTGAAAGAACTGCTGTGTAGAGTGTGTCTGATGATGTTTTGTTTTCTTTACAGCGTATGGAGGACATGCTAAGTGGCTTCCAGTCGGCTTTGGGTAGCATTAGCCTGGAGATACAGAACCTTCAGGAACAGTCAATTGCCATGAATATTAAGCTAAAGAATCGCCAGGCTGTACGAGGGGAGCTCAGTCAGTTTGTCGACGAAATGGCCGTCCCAGAATCTATGATTCAGTAAGACCATTTATGATAACTTAGTAAAGGTGGATACATTGCAAGCCAAATATTTAAGTCAGCTTTTTCCTTTGATTTGTGAAAAAATCTGTCTGTTTCGGTACTGGGGTAATAATTGGTTTATTAAGCATCTTAGTATCCACTGAGAGCTGAGTATCAGCTAAGCTGGAAGGGTCACCCTGTATAAATGGTGTACGGTAAGAATGGCCCCGGAAAAAATGGCCCCGGAAAAAATGGCCCCGGAAAAAATGGCCCCGGAAATAATGGCCCCGGAAAAAATGGCCCCGGTAAAAATGGCCCCATATGACAGGTAGGTAAAAATGGCCCCAATAATCGAATTCTGAATTAAAACTGATTTTCTTGAGTCATTATATGCATTTTTTTTATCTTAACTAATTTAGTTTTTAAAAGGAATCGCCCCAATAATCAATTTCTGTAACACACAATTGATCCACATGCTTTAACTACTGTTTATTTGCATTGTTTGTAACATGTAAAGTTAATTCATTTGATATTAAATAACAAAAGTGAAGTTTGTGGTTATCTATAAGTTGCATATTTTGGTAGTTAAAGTACTGTATACTGTATGTCATTCCTCTACTTTGTTAGTGAAATAACGTTTTTAAAACTTTTATTTCTACTATCAAAAGATGTTATTCAATGGCCATTGTTTTTCAATTATCTCTCAGAACATTATTGGCATCTGCTGTACTTGTTAAAAAACAAACGCTTTTAAAGAAATAAAAAAAAAATCACATATTGATCTGAGTTCAAAGGAAAAAAAATTAAACTTATTTCTAAATTTACAATTTTCACCTATAAACCTCTTAATTTCACAAAAGAGTGGGTTCTTTCATGATGTGATGTCATCATTACCATATTTAGGCATGGCACATGTTTTTGTAAAGTAAAATTTGATAGTTTGAACAGGGCTTTATACAATCTAATTGCTTGGTTTTTAGATTTGGTACACCATGTGAATGTGAAAGAACTGGTGTGTAGAATGTGTCTGATGATGTTTTGTTTTCTTTACAGCGTATGGAGGACATGCTAAGTGGCTTCCAGTCGGCTTTGGGTAGCATTAGCCTGGAGATACAGAACCTTCAGGAACAGTCAATTGCCATGAATATTAAGCTAAAGAATCGCCAGGCTGTACGAGGGGAGCTCAGTCAGTTTGTCGACGAAATGGCCGTCCCAGAATCTATGATTCAGTAAGACCATTTATGATAACTTAGTAAAGGTGGATACATTGCAAGCCAAATATTTAAGTCAGCTTTTTCCTTTGATTTGTGAAAGAATCTGTCTGTTTCGGTACTGGGGTAATACAATCTATGGTAATTTTCAAGCCCATATTAAAGCATTTAGAAAATATGTTCAGACTTATTCTATATTTTGATACTTGTAATGGTATTTGCCTTCAAATTCTAGGGTCCTGGATTCAACTCTTGTGGCAGCATCAGATTTTTTCTCACGACTACAAAACGTCTCCACTGCCTAAGCCTCATATTATGAGACTTGGTTTATTAAGCATCTTAGTATCCACTGAGAGCTGAGTATCAGCTAAGCTGGAAGGGTCACCCTGTATAAATATAGTAAAAAAAAGTACTAGGTGATTTAACTATGTACATTGGGAGAAGGAGATAACCACTAAAATCCATAATGAATTAAAATAATAATAATTTTAATTTAAGTAACAGATTCCAGAATATTGTTTCTGATGCTTTTCAATTGAAACTCTGCCTTAAATTAGTCAGAAATATTTTTAAATTAATTTTCTAGGTGATTTCTAGCTGGAATACATCACCAGAGAGCAGGAGAAAGTGGTTAAAAAGTGTCTTTGATCCAATGACCACAGCTATAATGTGGAACAGATAGTGATGGCTATGGCATGATGTACCAGGTTATTAACTGCCAAAAAAATATTTAACAATTTGACTGATTCTGTATGAAAATCCAAAGCCAAAAAAAATATAAGCAATGATAACTTCAATTCCATTAGCTTTTTTGGCTTATTTTGAATAAAAATATTCAGCAAAATTCAGCTTTTATTTAGAATTTGTCTTTTTGGCTAATGACAGCTTAAACACTGATGTACTAATAAATCATTTATGATATTTTCTTGCCAGTCATATCTTAGAGACTCCAGTTACAGAGAGGAAGTTTCTTGAGCAACTGCATGAATTGAACCACAAGATCAACTTTGTTAAAGAGCAGTCTTTCAAGGAAGCTTTGGCCTGTCGTGATGTACAAGATGTCTTGGAAAAACTCAAAATTAAGGTAAAGGCTTGTGAACAAATTTTGTACTGCATAGTGTAGTAGGAAGAATCTGGTGGTGACCTCTGGCGGCTCTGCACTTGTCCACTGAACCTTGGAGACCTCACTAGTTTTGTTCTGTCAAGCTGGTCACAATCTTCTGCTCTGAATGTATGTGCCAAGCAGAAGATTGCCTTCAAGTGTACTGCCACCTGCAGCACCCCGGTTGATGAAAATAATAGGATTTAAATGAAAACAGTTTTAAACAAAATTGCTTCTTTAATAGATTTTAAATAAAATATATTTTTTAAATTCTTATATGTGCAGGCAATTGCCAAGATTCGGGAGTACTTGCTACAAAAAATTAACCATTTCAAAAAACCAATGACCAACTACCAGGTTCCTCAGAATGCATTATTAAAATCAAGGTGAGTAATGAACTAAAGCCTCAGGTTCACTGGATAGACTGATTATACAAAACAAATTTATTCATTCATAACTGTCGCCCTGTTTCATTTGATCAAGAAATGCTGATCATTTCCTTCCTCTTTGTGCTTTCATTATTATAGTGAAAGTGAGCATAACACATTGGTACAGATACATTTGAATTCATAATCCTCTTATTTTTTATAATACTTATTGATAAGTGGTTATTGATTCTCATTGAGATAGCACAAATTAATTATGATAGAAAGTTTTACAGGTACTGTGAATAACATGGTTAAATATACTTAGCAGAATCTAAATAGCATTTAGTTATTTATTAAATATATTTATTTATTTATTAAAAATTTGTCACGATATAGATAAATACATATTGACCAGGGGCGTGACTAGAGATGACATGGGCTAAATCCCAACACAACAAGTGGTCATCTCTAAACCCCTGGCTAACAGCAAAGTTGGCAGCTTCATCAGATCATTGTCGTCATTGTCCTTTCCATGTATTAATGCAGTAATAAGTTTAGCCATCAATATTTTAATAGCTGCAAGCAGTGTTAGGTAAAATGGGCTCAAAGTGGTAATGTCTTCAAGTTCTATAAGACACCAAAAAGCATGAAATATAAACTGAAGGAAGATGTAGTGTAGACATGGGAAATAAGATGATACTTATTTTCCAATTATTATCATTTCAGGTTTTTCTATGAGTTTTTGTTGGGCAATGAGCGACATGTTGCGAAGGAAGTTCGAGACGAATATGTTGACACTATGAGTAAGATGAAATTCTCATACTTCAAAGGCTACACTAATAGACTTATGAAACTACAGGTAAGCTATCTATTATTATTGTTTTCAGCCATTTGTAATATTTTTTTGTTGACTCATATTTTAATGATTTATCATTTTATGCCTGTTTCAAGTAAGCTGTACTTGCAGAAGTACGATTAGCAGTCGTACAGGATGTAGCTTCATTTTAAAATATTTGGGGATATATGGTAATTTTGACAGGTTTGCGAGATTGTCTTGTGATGGCCATGCAGTAGGTTTGTGACAGGTCCGTGAGAGAGGTCCTTAGACAGTCCTACAATGGCCTTAAGAGCTTGTGGAACATGATTTAAGACATATTTGTGATAGCCATGTGAGTGTGTGTGAGTTGACGAGAGGGCAGGAGACTGGTCATTAGTGAGACAGTCCATATGACAGCCATGGAAGTTTGTATAACAGGCCATGAGATTTTCTAGTGAAAGCTATAAGAGTTGGCGAGAGAGGTTATGTGAAAGTCTACTGTATATTACTACCACGAGAGCTTTTAAAAAAAAGTCATGAGATGGTCTTATTATGACCATGATAATTTATTTTCTATAGTATGATGAAGTTGCTGACAAGGATGATCTGATGGGAGTAGAAGACAATGCAAAAAAAGGTTAGTATATATTGGTGTATACAACATTTGAGAAAGCCACTTGGCAGGCCTCCAATTATTTTTTACGGACTCCAGGTTGGGAACCACAGCTCTAAGGTACGTTTATAGGGCACTGCAAGCACGTATTAATTATTGTTGAAATCACTGATATTGTCAGTGTTGCCATTGTCTTTATCATTATTATTATTGTCATTATTATCTTAATTACCATTGTTATCTTTATTATTATTATTATGATTATTATTATAATAATATGTGGCAAAGACAAGCCAAACCAGTCACTCCTCACAAATCAATTTTCTGATGATGGCCCAGACATGTTAAAATGTCAACAATTTTAAAATCCATTTGATTGCACTAAATTAATCTTCATATATTTATACATCATGCTGTTTTGTTATTTCCCCCATTTTCAACATTAAAACAATATTTTGTAACAATTTGGTGATGGTCTCTGCCTGAGTAACGGCTGAAATCGTATATTTCTCAAATATGTATGTTTAAACTCCTGTAACTTCATAATGAAAGGTCGGATTTAAATGATTGCTTTCATTTTATAACTTTCATTTTACTGTTTAACCGTGTATAAATAACTAAAAATCAGTTTTTGCAAGGAGTGACTGGTTTGGCTTGTCTTTGCCACATATTATTATTACATCCATGTAATGTATATTACTTTATTAATTAGTTGACATTCACCTACTTGTTGTCAGGATTTTTCTCGTCCAAGGCATCATTGAAGAACCGTTCTACTATCTTCACCATTGGCAACCGCAACAGTGTTTTGACAACGGATTTAGAAGCACCAATTATTGTACCTCATGCAGCTCAAAAAGCTGAAACAAAGGTAATATATTGAGGTAGTTAATATGAAGTTTGTCAATATAACCAACCAATTTCTGCTGTAATATCATTGTACACATTTTTTTCTTAATATATAATTTTTTCTCAATGTATAATAATATGATAAAACTGTTATTCCTGTGATTATTATATATTAATAATTATATATAACTAACCAATTTCTGCTTTCTATTACTTTTATTGCTGTGGAATTTTTTTATATTATTTATATTATTATTTTTATACTCTTGTCAGCAGAAATTATATTATTTTACTAGTTTTATTTTAATTTCATTATAATATCATTCTTATATTATCAAATTTCTATCACTTGTTGCCAGCATACATTTGAGAGTTTGTTCCGTAGTCAGCATTATGCTCTAGTTGACAACAGCTGCCGTGAATACCTCTTCATCTGTGATTTCTTCATGGTGTCTGGAAACAGTGCTCAAGACTTGTTCAACAGTATCATGGGAAAGACGCTCTCCATGTTCCTTGTAAGTATGTGGGATAGGCAGTTGCTTTGTAATCGATAATCGATCGATAATTTCTCCAATTATAATAAATGACCCCTACCTATTGCCTGAGATTCTGCTAATCATATTATATAAAGATATGCATTCTTATTGCTTAACGAAATGTTGGTATAAATCTTGGGTATTTTAGAATTTGTATGTACTTGGCAAATCAATGAGGTTCTTAAATAGGTTTGACATAAGACAGTCTGACACACATTTGTAAGAAAGCGATGCTAGCATTTGTGATGGTGTTGTGACTATTGCATAATCTCGGTGGAAGGAAGTAATAATGGGCAATACATCCAAGGTATTTTAAGCCTTACACTAATAAAAAATTAGTACAAAATTTGTAAAAAAGGTTCTGTTACAATGATGATTCAATTGACTTATAAATTATTATTGTTGATATTAGTATTATTTTTTTTATTTATTTATTTATTTTATTTCAAGCAATTTGTCCAACAGGTACAATTTGTTCCTACTTACTTACGAAAATTGCAAAAATAAACATCTAAAATATAATATCACAAGCTATAAAATTTTAATTAAAAATATTTTTTAAAAATATTAAAATTAATATAATTATTAGTGTCATTATTACAATATAGATAGTATATGTATAGAAATTACACTCAGAACGAACAACACTAACGAGAAATATAATAATAAGTGACATTTAAACATATTTAAAGAATTAGAAAACTTCAGGACTAGTTAATTGTTATGATTGAATAGTTTCATCTGGTTTTGTAACTGTATATTCCAATTATTTTTAAACAAGTATTCCAATATTTGATGTTAACTTATGCTAGCTTTCTTTTTTTTTTATTAATCGTCATTATTATCATTATCATTATGAAACTTGTAAATGATGTATATTATGTTGTTTTCTGCCTGATATAGAAACACATGGATGTGTACAGTAGCGAATGCTTTGATTCAATCGCTGTGTACCTGTGCATTCATATTATCTTCCGCTTTCAACTAATGATGCACAAAAGAGCAGTTCCAGCACTAGATAAGTAAGTCAATTGATAGCATGTATTAGTGTGTAATTGTAATTAATTAGCACTGTTAATTGTTAGTGTCATTTAAACTGTTTGTGTTACTTAGATTGTAATGCATGTGCCAACATTTCAAATGCACTTGTGTCACCGTAATGCCAGTGCTAACCTGTTGACGTATGCAGAGTAGGTGCATACCCAAAAGCAGACACCTGGTGTTGAATGCATACAAGAAAATTTCCCAATTGTAGAAAAAGTTATGCAACTTGGTAGCTATTTGGCTCTGTGCTACAAATGCCAAAACTTATTTTTTAATTTTGCCGAATACGAGAGATAAACTGCCTAGAACATATAATAATCCAATGAAGCGGCAAGAATGTAAATAGGTATAGTATAAGTATTGATACATTAATTCTGGTTGATCAAAATTTATTGTCTTCACCTTAGATATTGGGAAACAATGCTTGAGATGCTATGGCCTAGATTCCTGTACATACTGGAGTTGAATATTTCTAGTATCCGGGACACAGATCCTCAAAAGCTAGGCTCGGTGGATTATAGACCTCATTATGTAAGTAGCTCAGGAGAAAGCTTTTCGCTCTATGTGCACTTTATTGTATTTGAAACATGGTGCCTGACAGGCAGGCCAACGGCTGTTTGTATACTTTCTTTTCCAGCTTTATTTTCTGTGGTATGCACCCTACATTTTTGTCACATGACACGTGTACACACTGGAACCACCTTGTATAAAAACTATTGAGTGCAGACTTAGATCTCTTGTCACTTTCAATACCAAATGTTATTTCAATCACTTGCTGCTTACAGTGTCTACTGTAATTAGTACTTTTGTGTTATTAATTTCATAATATATATCTCTGCACAGATTACCAGGCGTTATGCAGAATTCTCTGGTGCTCTTGTCAGCCTGAATGAAACATTTCCTGATGAACGTGTCAACCACTGTCTTGCAAGACTTCAAATGGAAGTGGAGAACTTCATCCTCCGTCTTGCTGCTGAGTTTCCTCAACGCAGAGAACAACTCATCTTCCTCATAAATAATTATGATATGATGTTGTCTGTGATTACTGTGAGTGGATCTTTAGAATAACCTACAATATATAGGTGATTATCTGTTCATTGAGTAGCTGTATTGTCAAAAAGAGGAACTAACAGAAAGAGGACTTTATAGAGGACAAATAGAGGAACAATCAAGACATCCGCTTTAAAACTATTTGTTTACATTTTATTTAATGTTAGACACAGCATAGTTTACATGCTCAGAGTAATAGTATCTGTTTTTGACAACCAACAAAAACTTTACACATGCCTTTGCTGAACATTCTTCCACTATTTCATAGTACAAAGCTTTTTAGCACGCATATTCTGACACATGAAAACTAAACTAAACTTTTCTAGAATTTGTGACACTGTGTAATTAGTCTGAGGTCCTAATGAAGACTGATTATTTCATTAATATGAAATTCATTATCCGTGAAATTGTAGTTGAATAAAATCAATAAATACAGCCAGTTTTATTTTGTAAATAAATGGTAGTGTATACTTTTGTTTCCATAGGAACGTACAGCAGAGGACTCAAGAGAAGGTGAGAGCTTCCGTAAGCTGCTGCAAGAGCGTACCCAGGAATTTATCGAAGAGATTCTGTCTCCGTATTTTGGCGGAATGATTACATTTGTGAAGGAGGCCGAAGCTGCTGTTGAAAAAGGCCAAGCCGAGCAGATGAAATACCAGGAACGTAAGTACAGTTGTAGCTTGCTGGCAAGCTTGCGTATCTAGGTAGTACATGGAAGAGCATGCCCCCTTTCCCCGAAAAAAAAAAACTTGCCGCCGCCCCCCCCCCCCAATTCACACCCCTCTACCATTGAAAATTTCTGAAGCAAAGAAATCACAGTCAAGTAGTTAATCATCATACAAGCTGCCACCTAGCCCCACTCGACCTTCGCTTCTTCAAGATTACTAGATACGCCACTGCTCACCAGCAGCGGTGGCACCAGAAATTTGCCGACAAGGGGTCCGACATGTCTGACGGAGGGGTCGGAACCAAAGGGATGACTAGAGCCTCGGTCGACGGCCCGGAATAAAAAATCCTTGGCAGGGTTTATTTGGAGCGTTTTTATGGCTTAGTGTGGTCCAAATTGTGCTTTTTATACCCTAATATTAGTTATTAGCAAACGTTATTTGGATAGGCAAATTATCATTTTTATCATTTCTAATCCATCTGACAACAGGGTGTCCAGGCCTGTCCGATGGTGGGAAATTCCCCCTGCCCCTGCTGGTGCCACCACTGCTCACCAGTATAAATTCCTGAAGAATGCCAGGATTTTTCTTATAGGTGTATTAGGAACATCAAAGGTCTTAAGTGATAGTCCTCCTCATCAAAATCCTCATAGATGTAGACATGCTTATGGGGTTATCAATGGTCTGAAGGATTTAGTTCCTCTACTTTTTAAGCCTCATCAACAGACTTAACAAATCACAAATTATCCTCTACTTCGCTCGTCCAGAAACATATAGGTATGGACCATCAATTTACCAGATGATTAGTTTCTTTACTTTCCAAGCCTCTTAACGAGATTTGTTTATAGAACTCTAAGGGTTACAATTGAGAACATTGTCATGAGAATTGATGGTATATTCAACTTTTGATTAATTTAATGCGTTTTTTTTGTACTTTTTTTAATTATTATTTTTAGAAAGGATACAGAAGTTAGTAAGAGATTTTGTGGGACAGTGGAAACAAGCTATTGAAAGTGTTAATCAAGAAGTAATGAAGTCTTTCACTAACTTCAAAAATGGCACCAGTATTCTGCAGGTAAGAGATACTAATCAAGAGAAATGCATTTCCCAGGGGACATCTGAGGACTAGATGGGAAGTTGAGGCCTACGAAATCTATGCAGGGGTGGCGCTGGGGTCGATGTCCCCCGTCGTGGAGAGCTGGCCCCCCTTGTCGGGAGAAACACCACAATTCATCGGGGAGAATAAAAATGTATACGTATTTTCTACACTCTAAAATTGATTAAATAAGCCTTTGAAACCCCTAAATTGTCATATTCGTACATCGTACCTCCCCGACAGGCAAATCCTGGCACCACCCCTGGATCTATGGTGTGGTTTAATGTTATAACACTTGTTATTATGTTTTTAACTATTTTTCCTATGTTAGCTAGTATTTTTATCGTAATCAAGATTGTTTGACTCTTGTCATATAAAAGGCCACTGCTATTACCAACAACAATGTATTTTTTTCTTCTCCATCATGTTTCCAATGATAGAGAAGCTATGCATTGTCATGGTATTGTATACACATTTATATCATATGTTTCAATATATTTACATTGATGTTTTATTCTCATTGCAGGGCGCCCTTACTCAACTCATCCAATATTACCATCGGTTCAAGGAAGTACTTTCAAAACCGCCTTTCAAAACAATGGCCGTGCGCAGTCAGCTCATAAATATTCATCACATAATGGTGGAAGTGAAGAAATACAAACCAAACTTCTAATGACTACCCCAAGGAAAATCCTATCAGTGGTGGCATTTTGTCTTGCATGTGGGGAAATTTTGTGGACAATGTGATTGTATAGTTTCACTTGGTGATGTTAAGATTAATTTTGAGCCCATTAATCCTTCCACATCTGTTGAAATAATAATAATTGGCTGTGATGCTGAATGAGAGTGTACAGTAGGTTGCTAGTGCATCAGTTTCTACTTTAAAGTCATAGTACAATTAGAATATTAATAAATTATACATTTCATGTATTGTAATTATTTAAAGTCTATTTATTAAGGGTAAATATGTGGTTATTTGAAAGCGAATTTTTTTTTTTTTATCAAAAATATAGTAATTATCTCCTTAGGTCTGTGCTGATTACCAGCAGCAACACGTAGCATGTGGACCCAATGACCAGGAAAAGGAACTGCGCTTTATAACCGCAAGGAAGAGGAGCATTATAAATGCCCATACAGTACCAGTACCATTAACCATGTGGGCTCCAACCCTCCCAATTTATTTCCTTAAACTAGGAGCTACAAAATTTATATTATTCCATGGTTCTTAAGCATCATCATGTTACATTTGTGTTAGTCCAAAAAATAGATTAAATCTCAAACAATTCTTTTCATGAAAATATAAAAAAAACTTTGCAAACATTCCAATTGATAGTGTCCCATTTTATCTTTTAAAACTATGAGTTTAAATATTTTATACCCATGATTGAAGACAATTGATCTTTGCAAAGAATGTTCTCTCCCAAATTTTCACTTTAAGATGTCATTTGTTTTTAATTTTTTCTTAGGAATCTCTGGATTTAAAAAATCATGGTGAATAGTAGTGTTAAGTCAAGTCATATATTTAAAATCAGATATTGATGCTTTTTAATTATATTAAAGTTATGAAATATCAAGAAAAGGTAATAAAAATGCTAGTACTGTACAAAATTATTGTTCTCTTCAAATCATCGTGGTTTACCATGGTGTACTGGTCAATCAATCAATGGATTTATAAGGCGCATAATACAGCAGTCTCTATGCGCCGATAAAAAAAAGACCAATGAAAGTGAAGCAAGCAAGCAAAGTGGGTGGGAGACCAGGTGCAGTTAAGGAAGAGTCAGTGTGTCATTCTTCCGCACTTTCAGGGCCAGCCAACTGACCCCGCGGAAACATAATTCACAGGATCACTGTGCCAACCCATTCTCTAACACTCAAGAAAAAATAAATAAAATAGCTGCCCTCCTCCATCTCACATGACACAATGGTCCCTTTGGGAAGAAGTTGTACGAATGAGCAGTTCACATCTGATAATTCTCGGGCCAAAGCCTTCTAATAGGAAGTAAGCACTTCAATACTCCTGTCTATTAGGGGAGGGAGGGGTGGGGGGGCGGGCTTTGTTTAAGTATAATACACAAAAGTAATACACACAATAACAACTCTCTAATAGATGCATAATACACAACTTATTTTATTTATTATTATAAACCATGCACCAGTGTCAATACACCAGTCACATCTAAAACTGTTAGGTAAAAGTTACACCAACCAATAAGCCATTACAATAGTACATCTCTAACATACTGGAATTGCATCTTCTGTGGTAATGACTTCTCTAAAGATTACAACAGTATAGGCGACTCTTTTCATACTTTGTTTAGCGAACCCACTGCCCACCAATGATTATTATTTCAAATAAAAAATAAAAATAAATTTTTGGGCAATTAGCGCACCCACTACCATGAACAAATGGAATTTTCAGAAAAAAATATAAGTTTTCCTTATTTTTATTATACCCGCTGCTGCCTTGAATTCTCCAAAAATAAGATGTGTATATTTCTTCCTAATTATATAGATAAAACATTTAACCATCCCATTACTACACTATTTACCAATAAAATTTTATTTTTATTTTTCTCTGTATGTTTTGGAAAATTATTTGCTAAATAAGAAGAAAAAAATCTTTTTTCTGCCCTCCTCCAACGATCTTTAAAAAATAATTTCGCAAAACAAAGTGGGGTCTATTTAGGAATCCACTAATCATTCATTAATTTTGAGACATTGTTTCTTTCTATGTGACTGATATCACAGATATTCCATAAGACCAGAAAAACCTTGTTTTGTTGCCCAAGCCCAACAGACTCAAAGTCTGATTTTCCAATTTTTTTTACTTAAAATGAGCACTACAAAAGCTACATGTATAATGTTTCAAAGCAGGAGCAGATCCAGTAAAGGGGCACGGGAGAAAGTTCCCCCAGTTTTGCCACTAATTTTTAAAAATTTCAAAGCACATCAATGTCATGTGCCCAACCTCCCCCCTGGATCTGCCCCTGCAAAGGGTTACATTTAACCATTTTAACCTTTAAACAAAATCTGATAACTTAATTTAGATGTTATGTATAAGGGAGTAATGGCTGAATAACTCCAGAATTACAGTAGGCCTATGCCTACATAAAACTTTTGTTACTGACATACCAAAAGCCTAATAAAGATGCTTAGCACATTTTATATTTCTCAATATAATTTTACAGAAATAAAGATACAACTTTCATGGCTGATAACCTATATAAACTGTATATACCGTTCACTCCATATATCAACTGCTTGAGTACCAATTGCAACCTTGTAAAAATACAGTAAAAATTTGAATTGTAAAGTGGACATAATAATGTCTGATTTTTCAGCATGTTAGACCTGGCCTATATTTCAGTCTTACATTTTTCAGATTAGCAAACATTCGCGAAAATTCAATTTTTTCACTTACAACAATTTGATCTTACATTTTACAGCTAAACACACTTTTAAGTGTTTTCTATTTGTACACACATACTACAGTAATTATATTTTGATCATCATTTTTGTATATTCTCACTATTACTATTATAATGTAAAAACCTTGGACTCGAATTCAACCCTGGCCATCAGGCGCAAGCTCGGTGGTCTAGAGGTATGATACCAAGTTCGTGATCTGGAGATCGTGGGTTCGAGTCCCACCCGAGAACAACTTGCGATTTTTTTTGCAGTTGTTTTCAAATGTACCGAGTATTCGGTACATTTCCACGTCAGGTAGGGCAAAATTACACCTATACACGTTTCTCCTGACGCAAATACAGTTATTGTCCATTATTTCATCACGACAATAACAATTACTATCAATATAAAAACCAATATTTAATTATTCCAGGTTACTATAAACTACTATAAATAGAATATAGTATCCCAGAATGATCTGAATATTGATTTAAATTGCATGGCTACCTGTAGCCCCATAACTACTGCTCACAGAAGTCCACTTTCCCTAATACTAGCATATCAGATGAGACTTTTATAATACCTTGTTACAGCAAAACTATATTTTAAAAATATCAAGAGGGTGGAAATAAAAATAAAATTTTGTTTTCTTCAAAATGACTTTGACAAAAGCATCTAGGTGGAGGAGAAAGTGAAAATTAAATTTTATTTGATGAATATTAACATTGTAGTTAATGCTTTAAATTCATATAACTAACAAAGAAATACTGATACCTTATTTGGGCAGACATTCAAAATATAAAATCGTTAATCTTTTCTGAAATTTCCATCTTTTTGTGGCAGAAGGTATGATAATTTTTATTTAAAATCATCATCATCTGCAGGTGGATGGTTTGCAAAACAAGGCATTAAAAAAATCTCTCGACTTACCATAATATAATACCGGAATAACGTAAAATATTTTAGTTTTAGATAGCAGAAACAGGATAAAGCATATTTACCAAAATAAATATAGGATAAAGCATAATCAAAATAAATATATGGTAAAGCATACTGTAATATTTCAAGACAACCTAATAAAGACCCATAAAACATACTCCCTTTTTAACAAATGTTTCCATTAAATGCTTCAAACTAGTAATCGGCTAATTTGATTTTAAAAAATACCATACTTCAGTGGCGGATCCAGGGGGTGGCAAAAAGGACAAAAAGACACACACCCCCCTCCCCTCCCGTAAGCAGCCAAAATAATTGTGTGGAAAATATAGTTCAATTGACATTTTTTCTCTCTCTCTTTTGTGAAATTGACTTTTCTTTGACAGTTTTAAATGTTTTTGTTGCAAAATCAATAAGATTGTATAAGTATCTTTATGCTCTTATATTATATTTTAGTTTTTAAGTTCCATTCTGCAAGTGGCAGGTTTCCCGCTGTTGAATGAGATTGTAAATAAACAAACTTCTCACTAACCAAATGTAAAATCATTAATGAAATAGTTAAAACTTTTAAGCTTTCAGACCCCCAGATAAAGATACACACAGTAATCTTCCACTCTCAACTTTCAACTTAGATTCCACCTTCGTTCCACATCCGTCCTCGACTGCCGCTCATGCCACCCTAGAAAAAAAATTCTAGAAACGCCACTGATAGTTCTGGTACCAAATCTCAATGTGTTTTTTGCAAGACCAAAGGCCTTTAAAATTGAATCAATGAATTTTAAAAAGGCCTTTGTTAATTAAAATATTTACTATTTTTCATCAGTTAAAGGGAGTACAGCTATTCCTGTCCCCTTTCCTCCTTGAAATAGTACAATTTAAAATTTTATAAAAATATATAGATACACTGTTAACCCCTCATCCACGTAACTATATTGTACTTTTCATAAAAATCATGAGGGGAAAACAGATGAGTCTATAACAAGTGAGATGACATTTTGATTCTCCTGATTTAAACCAATAATTTTCAATAGAGTTTCTTCATCGCTGGATAGCAAAATGACAAACTGCTACAATGAAAAAGAGCAGTTTGTAAAGGGAAGGTTCCAGGGCCCCACAGGGTCCAGCACCCTACCCCTTGCAAAAGAAACTGGGGGTAAAGAGAAGAAAAGGAAAAGGAATACATTTTATCATCTTTATCATTATATTTATTATATCCTTGCATTTGTATTTTGTTTTTATGGAATTTATTGATAATTGAAATAAAGAATATGATTGATAATCAACTACCAATGTCAAAAAAAATAAATAAAAAAATAAGGAAACTCAAAAACAATCTAATTTTAAAATTTAATTGTACTAGTGTCTATGATCAAGCAACTCCAAATGAAAATCCTCAAGTCCACACCCGTCCCTCTGTGTTTTGCACGTTGTATACAACCAACCAACCCAAATTTTTCTCTCGATCCGTCCCTGGTTAAAAAGCAGACTTTGGCTGAATAAACTTGGCTCACACATACTATGAATCACAGCGAATATTTTTATGCAGGGACTGACATCAACAGCACCCTCTAGTGACAAAATTCAAAATCATATTTATAGCCATCACTCTCAGATAATATTTTTCTCCAGTAATGGTGTATTGTTTCTAAATCTGTCAAAACCCATTCTTGATAAATCAATGGAAACTGTACAATTATTCAATAGCAGTTCTGTAATGGCTTGACCGACGGCTGGGGACTGTTGAATACCATGTCCACTGAACCCGGTTGCTACCAACAGATTTGGATAGGCTGGATGGTAGCCAATAATACCATTCTGGTCAAAGGTATTAAAATCATAGTAACCTGCCCAAGCACTTTTCATCTGTGAACCAACAATCAATATTTGAATTATTGAATTAATATTTGCCAAAAACATCTGGGACAGAGTTAAAACCTTAACTTTTTATAAAAGTCTTTTTTTTTGTCGAATATGAAGCACAGTATACAAGAAAAATTTGAAACTATAACCAAATTTGAGGTTTTAATAGAGCACGCCATTAATTACTATGTCCCTCAGTAGCCCTTACACTCTTTGAAAACCTTGAAAAACACTTAACATTCAATGAAAAAACTGAACTGCAGATGGTGTGATTGCAACCCCCTAAATTGTATTAAGAAAAATAATTGTTGTATTGTTGATATGAATTATCGGTAAGATTTTTAAGGTACGAGATTGCAGGCACCTAGAGGTCCTAATCCTCAAAAATTGTTGACACATCTGCCCCCAAACACGGTGGGGCTCAGGTGGTGTGCACTCTCACACCCCCTACCACCTAAACCTGCATCCGCCCCAGTAATTTGTGGGGTGTCTTGCCAAAATGAGTTCTGTTGTACGCCAGCTCAATTAGAGATATTTAAGAAAATATGAAGTGATATTTTGACAAATATTGGGTTTCAATATTTCTGATAAGTATATCATGTATACCGTAAAACCTTGAATTGAAGCCCAATGGGCTTTCTCGAGAAGAAGCACATCTCAAAATGAAGCCCCCCCTCTTCAGTTTGCAAAATTAGCCTTGAAAATAGCATACGCTTCTTTTTGAAATAGTACAGTACATACACTACACATGAATTTCAAAGAAACAAAATAAAATTTAAAACAGGCTTGGTTTATACAGTAGGTAGTAATTTAATGCCGGTTAATACACTTCTTGATACAGATTGATGTTACAGTCGCCCTATTTAATGTTTTATAATACTAATTATCCAAATTTACAGCATTATTTTTGAAAAAAAGCACCCCCACCCCACCTCTTTACTTTGCAAAAGTGGCTCCGAAAAGAAGCCCATCTCAAAAAGAAGCCCATCCAAAATTTGCAAAAACAACAGAAGACCAGGGCTTCAATTTGAGGGTTTTCAGTATTGCACGATAACACATGTTCCGTGATGATTTATTTAAGTGTTTTTGAGACACTTTTTTTCAAGCTCTTTTTCAGAATTGATAGGAAAACCAACACGAAAATTTTTAGAGTGGAGTATACTTACTTTAAGATTTTCAAAGGCTTTAGCACGATGTGCCACAAATGGCCAGATCTCCTCATCAAAAAAATCATAATCCACAGTCAGTTTATCACAGTTAGGCTCTTGCTCCTAATGTAAGAGTGATAAATAAATATTTATTGGACAGAGGTTTTCAGCAGCATTGAACAAGACCTACTGGTGCATCTGAATTAAAATTCTTACAAGATTATTTATATTAAAATGAATAACAATTTATGCCAAAAGTATGTGTAAATAGATAAAAATGAAATGAATAATGAATTAAAAATGAAAAAAAAAGAGAATATATAAAGTAATATAGGCTGTACATACATACTTTTATATATATACTTTTAGACAAATAACATAACAATATATATAAATAAATACATACACTGATGAAGTCCACAAGAAGTTGACAAAATATTTGCTGTCTC